TAAAATCGATTAAAAATTTACATACAACTGACGTAGGCCGTATATACTATTGTTAGCTGTCATAAATAAGCTAGTTAAGAGGCCGGCATCCTATCGTGACTGAAATGACTTTAAAATTGTCTACACTATAAACAGTAGTACAGCCTTACTCAATGCCAATAAGCGAGTGATTATCAATATTTCGCAAATGTCGGCACGCTGCACGAATATGGAGCCGTACTGTTTATATGGTATAAACGGTCTTTACTGTCGATGTGGTGAAAAAGCTACTAACTAACATGATTATAACAGTGCTTTATGATATAAGAGGTAATGCATTTCCGCTCTTATTTTCCTAAAACTAGTGGGATTTCTCATATATTCATTAACTTGATTGTCATGAACCCCCAAAATATTCTACGTCACTAAGAAGATAAAGTTTAGCATTTTCTCAGTTCTACTAATCGTAGTTTATGTAACATTATGCCAAAAAATCTTTTGATTTGTGATGTCGAAAAACATTGAATGTTAACCCATTACTGCCACTTTTCTCTTTGAATAGACTGATTTGAACTGAAACGGCGTTTGAAGGGAAACAACATTTTGTGCATCCAAGCAATTCAGTAAATACAAACAATATCTTTAAGTGTATATTAAATCACCCTCTCAAAGTTCGATCCCCACGTTTCACTTATGGGGCCGTCCAGTGCCGTAGCAGTCACCCGGCCACACCCAACCCCAGGCGTTGCGACCTCCGAGCCTCGAATCGTGACCTCTTTTTTTTTTTAAAAAAAACGCCCTCTTATATGCAGCTGCTTTACTAGTGTGCGCTAACCTTTTACGTCCAAACTCCCTCTGTTTATCTAACACCAACCTCCGCGATCTTTGACCCAATACATCTGACGATATTCACCGGTGCTCCATGGCAAGTTGGCCCGGAGACGTTGAATTGCCCGAGAATATGCTTTTTCAAGGGGTAGTGGAATTTTCTTGCATCTGTTGCATTCTCTTTTACCTCACCCGTATGCGATCAGTTTCACAGTGGAGTCTAGGAGACTGGAAACAGGATTGGGCATTGGTGCCTGGCCTGTCGTGGAGTGGCGTTAGCCTAACCGCTATCCCAGGACACTCGCCACGTTCGGGCCGCAATCCGAATAACGCTTGCCACTGTCCTGATCCATTCCACCAGTTGGTCCATCGCATGTACCCCACACCCTTCTAGGTAGCCCAAACGTTGAGCGTGCACGAGGAGTTGTGGTTTTTCATTTTTGAGAGCTACTAAAAAATACTTCTGATATATTTTATTTATTTATAATGGGCGATTTCATGGTGGATTGCCGAGCTGACCAAAAAGTACAAAGTCGTCATCACAAAGCGGTAATGCAGTGACATAATTCTAAAACATTATTTATCATTAGGATGCTGCAGGTATTACGAATGCAGCCGGGAAGCAGCACAAGCGCAGCACATAAT